GTTTTGAATATGGATATTTTTCTTACAAAAACGCATCGATTCGCTACAGGAGGCCTTTGTTCACCACCCAGAGCTGTGTGAGACACTTTTTTTTGTGGAAGGGTGCTTTTTATTTCACGTCTTTTGAACCGAAGGACAAAGATAGAGCTTGAAAGATCAAAGACAATTTTTAATATAACTCCGACTGGATTCGTCTGAAAGAAGAAAGTCATATACACCTAGGATGCTTCGCGGGTGAGTAAAACACAGCATAATTTTCATTTTGCGGTGAACTAACCCTTTAAGGGGAGCCCAGCTCCCCCTAGCTCCCCCGTAGTTCGCACCCTGGGCATGACGCCTCTGCCTGAACGCATGCAATTATCTTTTCAGATTTATAAGTTTGTAGTTATTTGTAAAGAATTTATAAATATAGTCTACATAATGATATACTTATAAAAGTAGCTAAATCAGTTTAAGCATAAACTAACACTATTTTAGTGGGGTTTATATTAATCTCAATGCAATAAATTCTACGCAATAAATTCTAAAAAACAAATTGACTCTAAAGTAAATTTCTCAACGATGTTCAGGTATGTTTTACTGACACACATGATAAAAAAAATCGATTTAAGAAAATGATTCCGTGCAGATTATATGCAAATTTGCTAAATCTTTAACTGAATTCAACAAAACAGGCCTACCTGTCACATGTCTGTTTATTAAACGAATTCATGTGATTTTGCAGCACTGTAATTGAAACTTTTTATTAACTGCACCTGCACTCCACACTGCTAACGAATCATGGTAACAAGTTGCTTTTATGTCAAAACGCGAAAGTAAATGTACTAATGGTGATGGAATCGCCTTTACTTGAGAAGTCGATAAAACCCACACCCAGAGGCAGTTAAGCAGCTTTTAATAGCCATTTAATCAAGTGAAATTGGGAGACGGCAGGATTAAACTAAACTAAAATAAAATATATATTTTTAAATGATTTAGATTTTATTATTAAATATTAACCTTTAATAAAAGTATTAAATATCATTTAATATTGCAATAATTTTTTAACACTACATTACAATTTCCATGTTCCATAAATTGCAGGTTAATTTAACACAATAACAAAAGCAAACAATACAATAACACCACATCCACAAAATAAGTGACATTTTTATTTCTCTATGATTACATGCAACAACTCGTTGTAAACACTCATCATATCATATTTTAAAAAGCATTAATATGACAAATTATTTCATATTTCAAGGTTATATATGAAGCAAGAAGAAAGGCAACTCACATGAGACGAAGAACAGAATGCCTGCAGCAAAGGTTTTATCAAACCTGTCAAAGGATGAGTAGTGGATGAAGGCCATAATACCGATGATGATGCCAAAAAAGCAGACCAACAGAGACAAGATCATGAACGCTCGTGTAGCATCCCAGTATGCTGTGAACACACACACACACACACACACACACACACACACACACACACACACGTCAGAAGGTCAAAGGTCATGTTATCACCAGCTCATTTGCACATACATGACTGTTAAAATTGAAATAAAATATAAAGAACTATAGGGAACAACATCAACTTAAAAAAAAATCCAATCTAAATTTCTTCTTTAAATGTCTTGCCACTCTGACTATAAATCTCACCAATGCTGTCGGTGTGCGTGAAGCATTTTCCGGGCATGCAGTATCTCCACAGCCCCTGATGCATGTAGTTGTTTGAATGACGGTATTGCATCCAGTAATCTGTTACTGTGGAAACAATCAGGAGTATATTGCCCACTCCTGCACAAAACAGCCCTCCTCCCATGAAGCTGTACATTCTGCACCTACAGACAGACTAAAAACAAAGGCACACAAACATTTATGGTCGCAAATACAATCAGACATATGGGTACATGAATTAATGCACACACACATAAAGGTCAGGGTTACGTTAGCATCAAGAGACCGGTGTAGACTCCTGCACTATTGAGACATGTAAGTGTCTGTAATTGCATTGTAATGAACACATTACTTCCTTTGAGTGAGCTGGGAGGTCAGTATCAGGAGGCTACTGTCTCGCACTCTCTCTTCTTTTCAGGTTAAGGCTAACAGAGCTATCAGGTGAACTGGCTGGAAGAGTTTGCAATTATAGTAAATAGGACAATGCTTATTCAGAAAAAGCATTGGTGCTATATATCAAGTTTTTGAATTGATGTGATTTAAATTCTATTTGCTGGGGTGTAATTGACTCATTGCCATTAAAATATTGACAAATATTTTACATTTATGAATGTATGGACACATACATGGACACAGAAAAAGGTAACAACAGTTTTTGATAACCATTCAGTAGAGGGCGCCATATAGTTCAACGTCTAATTGTTTAAAAAAAAAATTGTTAACTATTTGGTGACTTAGAATATGTTCAGGAACACTAAAGATAAAGAAAATGTAATTTTAATTGAAATGAAACTTCATCATTAGTATAAAATCATTTAAAAATCTTTACATATTTTCTAAATGAGTGTAAAAATGTGTTTACGTAAAAAGGTTCTGACAGTCTTTTATAATAATTTATTAATAATAATAATTTTTAATTATTAAAATATTTGAATAATTTTCAGAAAGTATTTATATGTATTTTATATAAATATACCGTACAATTCAATAGAAAAGTCCATAAAAATATGCCACAATGTACTATGAAATAATTTTATATGTAGATTTTTTTTAATAAGTGTTATTGAATTATGCATTTCATTCCAGTGTTGTGTAATACCCGCAAACTTGACGGAAAATGTGGTCGTTTTCTGTCAGGACATTGTCCTGTTTTTCTACATTTTTGTTTTTCAGTGTATTTAAAAAATATTTTCAACTCAATTTTCAATTTTAATCCATTATAAATCATTTTTCTGAATCCTTTGAAATATTTGTTCTATGGAAATATTTGTAACAGTTTTCTGAGCAGTTAACACTATTGAGTTACACCTGACAGATGTTCATGTAATCACTGTATTCTTGGAGGGTTTTCCAAATAAATATTGAGGAAAAACAAACAATAGCCAAACACAAGAAATCAGTCATCAAAGGTCCACTGTTCCAACAAACAATCTGATAATCTAGCTATTAAAAGTAGTCACACTTACCTTTATCAAACCCCTAAATGAAGTCTAAATAAAATATGCCAGGGCCCTATAATGGCTGTACAGGCAGCTTTCCAGCAGCTCTTAGCACTAGCGTTTAGCGGGTGAATAGAGCGAACGGGGGAAAGACCAAGCGGAGCGCTGAAACAAAAGAGCAGGCAAAAAACACAGCCAATCAGCTAGAGCTAGTTTTGTGAATTTGGAATCTGCTGAAGAAACAGAACTATCTACAAATCCTGATGACTGGAGGCTTTCCATTGAGCGGACGCCGCTGACCGCCCTTTAGTTGGGAAGAGACCGAGCGGAAAATCTGGAATGCTGTTGGGCCTAACATGGAACAATTCAATTTTCAAAACAAAATTTGAATTTTATTGTGTGCTTTCATGTTCTGCTAATATCTAAACATATGAAACTGTGTTCTGTTTCATATAAATTTGCAGGTTCTACTAGAATATCCTATATGATTTCCACTCAAAACTTTTTAAAACAACCACAGTGCAAGTTTGAGGAGTTCTTCCATGTTCACTATCTAATTAAAGTGATCACGCAAGACAAATGAAATTCAATCAACAGGCTTGTTCTATAAGCTGCTATAAAAGCAACTGTAAAATTAATAAATGTAAATGTTCTCTTCAAAATAATCAGCTATTATAAATGAAATATGAATAACCAAAGCATAATTCATCCATGTTTGCTGTCTGAGCCTTTCACAGGTTTACGCAATATGCTAAAACAGCTCTGATTTTCCTCAACATTTGAGTCAAACTTACAACCACCCTATCGAGAATTAGCTTAGCTTTGCTTTCCCTCGCCCTTATGTGTGTTAGAGTTGTTTTCTCCTCCAGAAGGGTTCCTCTCCCATCTCCCGCACATGGTCCCGAAGATGAAAGGACCACAGTGGATCCATTACCTGCATTAGAGCAAGTTGTTCGGACCAATTGACGACTACAAAATGGAACAGGAAAGGGTTTTTTTCAAAGATGTGAGTGCCGTACTTACGTCTAACTTCATTTTTATAGACCACCGCCTATTTTGTTCCATTTCAACTGAGGCAGCAGAGGGGCATTTGATATCATTCTGGGCTATCAAAGTGTACAATATGTCTCAGTGAGAGTGAAGCATTTCTTTCTCAAATGCAGCTGGCTTTTCAGAAGATGAATTTGTTATGACACGTGTATTAAAGCAAACATTAATGATAACAAATGTCTAGCTACTCTGTGGATGCATGGAAATAAAGAATAATCCTAACAGACCTTCAAAGGATTCTCAGTACCTTTGTGGGCCAGTTACATGCAGTTGCATGACAGATGGAAAAAACCCCGCAATGCCACTAATGCTAACCTCAAGCCTTGTTCTATCAAATTGTATGGATTTATTTTTAATGCTGTCTTTATTGTAGAAAATGGCATGTATAGACAGATAGACATAGACTGCATGTAAGTATAGAATAAATAGACAGACAAATGCACAGACAGACAGTTATAGGAATGATGGACTGTTTGGATAGCTAGCTAGCTAGCTAGCTAGTTTGCTAGATAGATACATAGACAGACAGACAGACAGACAGACAGACAGACATAGATAGATAGATAGATAGATAGATAGACAGACAGACAGACAGACAGATAGATAGATAGATAGATAGATAGATGGAACTCCTTCGGTTTACTCTTAGGTCAAAAGGATATTGAAATAATTTGTGTTTCCAGCATCTCTCTTTCAGTAGCTTGCCCTTTCATAATGGTAGAAAACACAAACCAGTGTTCAGCCCTGACTCCTCCAACATAATGCACACTGCCTGAGAAAGTCTTTGAATCCTTTAAGCTGCCAGGCGCATCCCGCTAAATGCTTAAATCAACTCTTTAGAATTTAATTTCGCAGCCTTCGGTTGGCTAATTTGTATGGCAAGTGCTTTCAACATTTTCCCAGCATTTAAGCGGCTGCCTTAATCAAAAGAGCATGCAGACGATTCTCCCTCCCATTCCTGCTCCACAGCACTGAGTATGGAATAAAAACCCTTCCACTTAACCACTTAGATGAATATATCAAAAAACTAATTTGTCATTTTAATTGCATGATTTGAAGAGACGCTGCCTCACTTTGCCTCTTCCATTTTGCTAGATTTTCAATGTGAGCGCACATTAGATTGATCTATGAAAGACAGCAGAAATCACAACATTTATGTCTTTTCATTTTGCCGTAATTAGATAATTGAAATTCCTGTCACTGTCTATGCACTTTTGCAAAACACAAACAGCACACAGATCATAGACGGAAGAGATTGCTTTTTTTGCTCTTTGCGTCCTCCTCTTTGTTTTTTGTTTTTTTGTTTTTTCAAGTTACTTTTCCCCTCCGTTGTTTTGATTTTTTTTTCTTTTCACCAGAGCCAATCACTCACTCCATCTCCTGAAGCCAGAAATAGCACAGTGCATGTCCATTTTGTTGAGATTTACCATCCCCATTAAGTGATTGCTAGCTGAAATGACAGGGCACCTCTCTCTTGATACACTCCGAGAAACCCGGCTGGCTCATATTAAGGACACATTACTCGAGCCCATTTTCATCCAGCTGCAAGGATATCCATTAAGGTGCCTCACAACCCTACATTTTTTCCATTTTCTCTCTCACCAAACTTGACTTCACATATTATTCCCTGCTCTGTTTTGTCATTTGCAGTGACAAATTATATCAGGGCAAGGCTATCTCTCTCAATGTTTTCCCTCCCGACAGAGCAATTTGCCGTGACCGATTCTGAAGTGTCAAAATGGACACATCATTAGACCTAACTATGACTGTTGGATGGTTCTCCTCAGAAGTTTTTCAGAGTCTGCCAGTGTTATGAAATCATCTCGCAAATGGACATCTCAGGAGTTCATGTAGGCCTGCCGAACCAATTAGGTCAACACCTTTAAAAAAAAAAAAATAAAAAAAATAAAAATTATATATATATATTATATACTGTATATCAAGCACAGACAATTTAAGTCAACAAAACAATATATATATATATATATATATATATATCAGGCAGGAGTCAGGCAGAATGCTAATTGCCTAAATAGCTATTTGGTTATTGTTTAACCTTATTCAATTAACATGGCCTAAGTGACTTTCAGCAGAATGAAAAGCTGTTTCAGAGGAAAAGTAAGTAATTATATTTTAATTAAATATTTCAAAGACAAACATTTTTATTCCATAGAATAACAGATGCATCATTCACAATAAGACAACATGAGTATATGATGACAGAATTCTCATTTTTGGATGGAAGTCTATTTTAGTTATAGTATATATATAGTATATATATGAGTATCATATTTGATACATCAGGATTTTATGGATCATATAGTATAAGAGAATATGGAGCTTACACTCGAGGAGAAAAAAAAAAAAAGTTTTAGTAAGTCACCCAAACTAAAAAAAATATAAAATTTGATGCAGTTGCTGATATTTGTTATGGCCAAAATGTATGATGAAATTCTGATAGCTTTAGATTTACATTATAGCTTTACATTTACAACACAAATTAATGAGATCTTTATACTACAATACATACAAAACATACTATCTTTATACTACAAGGCCTTTTGCTTGCTAGAAACGTGTAAACTATCAAACAGACTACAAAAGGCATGTAGTAGATTGTGTTCAACAGGTTTTTTCATCAAAGTTAGGATCATGTTGATAATTTAGAGGCCTTAGAAACTTCAGATATGATGTAGGCTTTATAGGGTTGATATGCATATACCTTTATATGACAATATATTCCTGTGCAACTGTTTAGAGGCAAATCAAATAAAGGACATTTGACTTCACACTGAAACAACAAAACAGATGCTTTCAAACATTCAAACACACAAACAAATGCAAAAGATCCAACGCGGGCGTTTGGCAACACAATCACCTTAAGAGCCGGCTCTGCTCTGAGCACGCTCCCCGTCGCGTTGACATTCTCATTGCACTTTACCCATTAATTCTGCCATTGTTGTTTCTGAGGTCTCATGGGGTCCTACAAGCGACTCAATAAGCAGTGCTTAACCAGCCTCCTATGTCCATTCAGCTTCAGTTAACCCAGACACAGAGTACAGTCAACAAACCCAAGCCACGTCCCTGCTCCCGGTCAAAAGTCTTTATCACCATGTAATTGTATGAGTCGATCCCAAATAAGCAAATCAAAGCTCGACCTCACTCAGCGCCTCACTTTGCATCACAAGGACGAGCGCCCGACATCGACTCCCGTCGAGGGAGACATGTTGCTAATTGAGTTCTCACTGGTCATTTGATCCCCCTAAGTGAACAAGAAGAAAAAGGGTCTTGGGTCTCATCTGCTGGCGTAGAGCGCCGCGTAATCCAGGGAGGTTCAGAGGTGACTCAGGGTTACGGAATCACACTGCTGCCCTTTCAGCCGGCACCACGCAAAGACCGATGACCTTTCTTTCAGCTAACGCCCAATGCCACGCAGAGTCATTGCTTTAAAAGCACTCCCTTGCTGGGAAAAGGAAAAATGCATGGCACAGGTTCTCATAAAAAACGTTACAACTAATAAAGCATTCAAACATTTATGGAGAGAATCGTGGCACATCAATAACTTTTTTTTTAGTGCATTGATTTTTATTTTGTCTGTATGGATTGGCTCTTGATGAGAAATACACAATTCTACACTTCCATAAATTTGGGCATAATGTGAAACAAAAGCCAGGTCCAAACAGCAATAGGTTACTGTTGTAAACTAAAACATCCTTCTACAAAAAACAATCACGCTCCAGCTGGCTCTGTGAGTAAAGAGTGCTGCAGAATGACATTTTTGTGTGCCAAAACCCAGAAACAAGTTTAGCATCTAGCATTTAGCACTTTCGGTTCCGTCATACTGAAGTCAGTGGGTTTTTGGTCAAATGGCTGAAATAAGGTCTGTGATTAACATAAGGTCAAGATATTTTAACGTTTTATTTTTCATCATAAAATACATCAGTAATATGCCTCATCGAAGTAATATGATGTATTTCTCATCGGGTGATGCTAACTTCTGGGTTGGCCTACAAAAATATACTGAAGCGTTACAGCCCGTGGCCCAGCAAAGTGAGCACTCTCTGAGTTAATTCAGAGCGCTGTGATCTCATTTGTCCTTCACTCCCACTTTTGTCTAGGTCAGAAAGGAGGGGTGTTCATGGGTCAGCAGATACATTCCGGTGAAAAGCTTGAGCCAGGGGGACCCTCTTTTTCTCTATCTCTATATGACCATGTTGTGCTCAACAACTTAGACCTCCACATTTAGCCTGTCTGAGCCTCACACTTGCAAAATCACACAAGGGCAATGGAAAAGTGCCATGGGACATGAAGGCTTGCTTAGCGGCTTCCTATTTGGACCTGAGGCAGATGAATAGATATCACAGTCACTGTTGAAGCAGGCCTTTTACCAGTTTGTTGTTAGTCATATTAGCTGTGTCCAATTTCGGCGGCTGTGTCCTCCGAAGGGTCGCATTTGTCGGTTGCATACATCATTGAGGTGGTCTCATTTAAGAAAAGTAATGGTATACAATTTACTGATATTCCTTGTGTGGTGCAAAACACTGTAATTTCTTTCTTACTCTTCAATCTAATGGTTACTTTTCTTAAATGAGACCACTTCGATGACGTATGTAACCGACAAATGCAACCTCCAGAGGATGTAGCCTCAGAAATGAAGGTTCAAACTTTTTCAACCAGTTAAAACCTGTAATTTTATTGTTTTGCTATTATGGGTGACATATTGTAGGAATCCTACCACAGTGGAGGGATTTTGTCAAATCAGAGAATCATTTGAGCTTGTTGTCTAATTTAATTTGAAAGCAACAAGACAAAACAAGATCTCTTATGAAACAGAGTAATACATCTTTTTCTAAGGAGAAAAATCTGAGAAGTAATACGTTTTCGCAAAAGTATTTTGTTTTATCTATATACATATGTACTGTCTATACAAACAGGGGCCAGTTGCATAAACCGCTTAGACTAGTCTTAAAAAGTTAGTCATCTATTTATTTTTAAGACTGGTCATACATTTTTAATTTAGTTATAAAAAGAGAGAATGGTCTAATTTGAATCCAAAAAGTAAGTCTGATTACCTCTTGGCTAACTATATGGTCAAACAATTTTAATATATATTTTTTTATATAATGGCTATGTTTATGCAACTGGCCCCAGTCTGTAAGATTACTTTTATTTTATTGTATTTTTTTGCAAGAAATTTTATAAAGCAAATATTTTTTTGCAATTTATTCACATTCAATTGATTTTGAATTGACAGTAAAGAGTTATGTAACCAAAAAATAAATAAACAAATAATAATAATAATAATAAAATAAAAATTGAAATAAATAATGTTCTTCTAAATCTTCTGTTTATCAAAGAAATGTAGCAAACTTTCCACAAAAGCTAATAAGCTTTTTAACTGTTTTCAACAATGATAATAATAAGAAATGTTTGAGCACCAAATCAAATTAAAATGATTAAATTATTTCTAAAGAATCATGTGACACTGAAGTCTGGAGTAATGACTGGAGAAACTTCAACTTTGCCATATTGTAACATTTCACAATATTACCGATTACTGTAATTGTGTTCAAATAAATTGCATTGGTGAGCATAAGATGTAACATATATGTAACAATATAATCATAGTATATATATATATATATACTGTATATATATATATATATATATATATATATATATATAAATATAAAATATAATATTACATATTATACATGTAACATGTATACAGTCTCAAATGGATGACGACATCACTGAATCAACAATGAACTGACTTTAACTGATAATCTGACTTTTAACTTTTCTATTGTCCTCTTCTATTGTTTTCTATTGTCCTCTTGCATTATCAGCACACGTTTTTCCTGTTTAATGCTGTAAAGCTGCTTTGACACAATCTGTATTCTATAAAGTGCTATATAATTAAAGCTGACTTGATTTGACTTGACATTCTTATATGTGTACACGCACAGTATATATGTGTAAGTTAAAAAGAAAAGCAACCATCGCTGCATTTTAACAGTTTTGTACATGTGTGTCCTTCATGGTCTCCAGCTTTCCACCGTTCTATATGAGAGAATTAAAATAATAAACAAAAATAAATTCACTTACGAATTGCCTAACACTGTTGATGACTAACTTATTCCCCATTTGTAAGCGTCACCTACTGTTAGCGGCTAATTAAGCGGCTTTAATTTTTAATTAATTGCCTTAATTTTTACACTAATCTACAACCCAAGTCTCTGTCAGTCATGAAACGACGGCTGCTAAAGCACAAATGTGCCACTTTACCACGAGTCTGGGCAAGCAGACGTTAATTAGCCTGTTCATAGAGCAATCTCTCATCAGCTCCCCCACCCCCACAATCCTCTGAGTCGCATGGGCTGCACTTCCTTATTACACGTATTGACTCTCAGTTCAACAGAGGAAAAAAACTTCTTAATGGACTCTGAAAGAGGAGTCATTTACAAATGATGACTGCATTATTAAATTGAAGTGCCTACATGGAAGTTTAAATGTAAGTGGAAGTGCATTTTAACCTGTCTTTTGGAGATGCTATTCAGCCCATTCATGTCAGGGTCATGCAGGCCTCACTGCTAATAAACCCACGGCGGAACAGAAGTAACCCTGTTAGGCTATTTGGCTTTATTGCAAATTGACACATAATTACAGAAAAGATAAAGAATCCTCAGTCATTACTGTTCAGTAATCAGTGCTGGGAAGGTTACTTTGGAAATGTAATAGGTTACAGATTACAAGTTACCCTATTTAAAATGTAATAGTAGTGTAACTTTTTCAATTACTTTATTAAAGTAATGTAACTGATTACTTTTGATTACTTTTCTACATTTCTAATGAATGTTTATTTGCAACTGTTAATCATTTTCAAACATTTACACCATGCAGGGTTAACCTTACAGTAGTGCTCAACACTGTCAGACTTTCAAAATCTTCATCACTTGAATTAAGATGATCAAATTTGAACACATCCACCACAAAATCAGACTTTAGTACCGCCTTTTACTTTGAGATTGATCTGAAGTTCAATGCAGATTTAAAATCATAAGAAATAGTTAATAGATAAGAAATCTTTGCATAACTACAGGAAACACAGCATCTAACAATGGTTTGGAAAAAATAGTTAATAAAAAAAATAAAATAAATAAAAGCATATACAGGTGCATCTCAATAAATTAGAATGTCGTGGAAAAGTTCATTTATTTCAGTAATTCAACTCAAATTGTGAAACTCGTGTATTAAATAAATTCAATGCACACAGACTGAAGTAGTTTAAGTCTTTGGTTCTTTTAATTGTGATGATTTTGGCTCACATTTAACAAAAACCCACCAATTCACTATCTCAACAAATTAGAATACTTCATAAGACCAATTAAAAAAAAATTAATTTAGTGAATTGTTGGCCTTCTGGAAAGTATGTTAATTTACTGTACATGTACTCAATACTTGGTAGGGGCTCCTTTTGCTTTAATTACTGCCTCAATTCGGCATGGCATGGAGGTGATCAGTTTGTGGCACTGCTGAGGTGGTATGGAAGACCAGGTTTCTTTGACAGTGGCCTTCAACTCATCTGCATTTTTTGGTCTCTTGT